TACTAGTACTCCCTCTCAATTCTTTTTGGTGTTAAAATTTCTCTACCCCTTTCTTCTGACTCTTCCTCTCCCTCGACTGACATCTCTCCCTCCCCTAGGACTATGTCCCGTTAAAAGGGTGACATTGTCATCTTCTTCATTTTCAACTCCTTCATTCAAGAGTACTTCCCTCCCTTGAAGATTACCTAAGGTTATTTCAATTTGCTCCATACGGTCTGTCAATGTAATAATAACTTGATTCAAACGAGTAATTGTTCCGACTTGTGCTTCTCTCCACCTAGCTTCATTGATCTCCCCTCCTTTTCCTCCGTCTTGGTTCATGATTGTACAAACAATAGTGGAATATGTTTAGGACCTCACACACTCAACTCCCTGATTTTACACTCGGGGACACTCGTGTTTATACACACAAAGGTAGGCTGTTTGGGAAAGTGACTAAATTATGATCAAGGTAGGCTAATATATCGGTAAAGCAATTTTGATGGTAACAAGCTATTCAAAGCAATCAAGATAAGTTAATTATGAAGTAACAACAAAATAAAACAAGAAGTGAACAACAAATAAGAGACACGAAGATATTTTTGGATAGAATTGCACACTGAAATTTTTTTAAAAAAAATCCAAAAAGAAAGAACGTGAAGATTTTAAGAACGATCTAACTCTCCTTTTTACAGAATTCGGGAAATTGAAAAGTTAATTTCAAGCATAGATTATGAGAGAAAAAAAAATCAAACACAATGGTTCCAGATTTAGATGGATTAAGAAAAAGATGTGAATCGAAGTTTATTTGATCTTCAAATAAACATGCAAATGATCCAAAAAAAAAAAAAAAAATGATAAAGATCGTTTATAATCACAATCGTAAGAACAAATATGATAAGATTTTTTTTTTCAAGATCTCAACGTGATCTTTAGGAAGAAAATGAGAACAAAGTGAAAAATTAATGAATGATGGGGGAAATGATAGCGAGAAAATAAATGGATAGATTTAAAGAAAAGATAAACAATAACAGAAATGAAAGATAAAATCAATTCTAGAGTCGACCACAAAGATGTAAACTTACGCTCTGATACATAATTGATAAGGCAACCCTAATTCTCAGCCCAACGATCCAAGCTTTTGTTGAAGCAAGAAACCGTGAATCAAAGTAATTAACACCTCCTTGTACGAAATTTGGATCAACCAAGAGATGAGGCTAGAATTATATTACCTCTTATGATCGAAGATCTAGAAGCAAGATTTTGAAACCTTGTTCTAAATTGAATCACTCCACAATCGAACTCGATCAAGGCTTGATTGAATTGCTCGGTGCAATTCTACCATAATAATTACTTGAAACTTAGAAATGACAAATATGATGTTCAAATTTCTAGGGGAAATGTCTCAATTTGAGATTTGAATTACATTCATCCACGAATCTGAATTTTACATAACATATTGTGGGTATTTATAGTCTCCCGAAAAAAGACGTTTGTAGACGGAATTTATTCCCGATCCCCTTTAATCTCCACAAAAGAATAAGTTAAATTGATCATTTGACTTTTACATAATTTATAAAATTAAAAATAGTTATTTTTAACCAATGTTGATGTGTTTGAGTGACTAATGCGACAGGTTTGAAATCAATTGAGCTCTTTGCATGTAAGTTCGAATTCTGTTGTTGACATATTTTTTAAATCTTCATGACATTTTTTGAATCTTCTTGGCAATAGGTTCATTTGGAACACCGTGATTCTTATCAGATGTCCTAGTCTTGCTTGTTTGGGTTAGTTGACAAGAATGTCAACCAATTGAGTAGGGGAGGATGTCACGGTCATGCATGTCCAAGGCGTGTTGTCAATGGCTACATGACAGATGTCTCAGTCTTGCTTGTCCAAGTCGTGTTGTCCATGGTTGTATGCCCGTTCCAAACCTCTTTTACATGCTTTCATCCTAGATAGGTCTTTACCATTTCATATTGGGTCAATATGATGGTGTATGATCGTTCACAAAAATCATGTCTACACTTGCAAGGGCTAAAATGCCCCAAAATGTACTATAGGGGGATATGATTAGTTGTCAACTTCTCCTTACCCGATAGTTATATGGAGTAAGTCGTTGTGTTGCCTTTTGCTTACATTCCCATATAACACTAATTTCAATTTCTCAAATCTTGCTTTCAAAACTATTTTGAAATCTCTCTACCCCGCTTTCTAAAACTTTCTTCTTAAACTAAGGCCAGAGGCTCGAGCATACGTCGCTTGGTCGTAGGCGACGCGAGAATGAATAGGCTTAACTCACTTATTGCTGAGAAGTGAGTGCCGCACAATCGCAAGTCGTTGGCAAAATTTACCACTTTATTTTAATTAAAATTATTCATAAATATTTTTAAAGTTTTGATTTGAAATTTAATGGTTAAATAATTTTTAAAATTAAAAGCATAAAATTACATTAAAGCCAATAAATTTAAGCTAGAATATAAATAAATAAATAAAACTCAAATATAAGAAATTACGTTAATTTATTGCAAAAGAAATTAATTTTAAGATATATGATATTAAGTTTTAATAATAATTAATGACAGAATAATAGAGAATTTTGAACTTTAATATCTTCAACTCCCACGACTATATAATCAGCAATTCTTCTATTTTTTTATATCAAAGAAAATTTGTAAATTTTTTAATAAATTTTGTTTATTTAATTTAAGCAGAAATGAGAACCCCAAATAGTTCAAGCAAACAATTTCAACTTCAGGTATTAACATCTTTTATAAATATTTTAAGGTTTTCTTTTCATTTATTTTTTTTCCCTATAATTTGTTATGTTAACATTGTTGGCTTTTTCATGATTTTTTTAATTTTTTTTTTCAGTCCGTGCTTGCCTTGCTCATCGTCTTCCTTGCGGTTCAATCAACACGGGCCGATAATGAAATAGAGGATAGGATCAATAAGTTGTGTCATCAAAGGGAGGAATTTGGATTCTGCAGCCAAACCTTCCATGAGAATCTGAAGGGTCCGACAGACAACATAGGGTTAACCCAAATAAATAAAATTCAAAATATAAAAGTGCTTAAGATGATAGGTTACTATAAATAATTGTATTTTAACGGGTATATTCAAGAGCTTCTACCATCGACAACTGATCCTGCATTGAAGAATGATCTCATAATTTGTGAAAATGCATACAAGATACGGAGTGAGTGAAACATTTTAAGAAGAAATTGACTTATCCTTAAAAAAGGATTATAGAAGCATGTTGAATGTCGAGAAGGTTGCACCAAGAGCACAGGCAAGTTGTAGCGTGATTTTCAGCACACCACCCGAGAAACAAAGCCCACTAGAGGAGAGGAACAGGGATGTGAGGATTCTCATTGCCATGGCTATAGTTTTCGGCTCCATGATTGCATCTTAACGACCTACTCTAACTCTATCTCTATCGAGACTCTTTTAAAATTTAAAATGGCTGCTTCTCTTTTTTAACAAATGTTTATTTTGAAAGATTTGTTGATATAAGGATGATCTTTTGATTGTCTTAAAACATCTAAGAGAAAGTATATTAAAAAATAAAAATTGTGCATTAAAAGTTGCTTTGAAATTAATATTTTTTTAGAAAATATTAAAAAAACAGAGAAAATTCTTTAATTATTTAATTTTTAACAAACATAATTTATAATTTATTGTAGTGGAGTGGTAATCACGTTATTGAAGGCTCCCATCCCAATCTTTAAGCCGTAGTAATTTAATTTGTAAATTCGGGAGTCATCTCAAAGAAGAATACATGGTGGAGAATCCCTATTTAAATAGATAATAGAGGAGGAGTTATATTTTATATTTCTATCTTCGATCTCGACCCCACCAAATTCTTGTGCGTAGAATATTTATAGAATACTTAGTATATATGTGTGGAATACTATGATAATTTTAAAATTTATGTTCAATATTTTATTATAGTTTGCTTATGGAACATTATTAAATTATAATTTATTATGTTTTATTTTTTAGAAAATTATAAAATAAAGATGAAGAAAAGGCTTTAATTATTTAATTTTATAGTGTGTTCTTTAGACGTCAAGTTGTGCACTAAAGTGTTTCTCATGCCTAGGATTCATATCGATTACCTATTTGTCTTGAAGTTTTTCTTAGTTATCCTACTCTAAAGGCTCCTATATTTGTTGTATCTTATATGGTATATGAAGACACGTTTAACTTTAGAGTTCGTATGATGGAGCCACCTGAAAGAAAGATGCACTTTTGGTATAGATATTAACTATCAATTCTAGTATGCATTTCTTAACCATTATATCCAAAACTGTTCTCATTCCGGTGTGCTCTTGGTTCCTTCATAAATCTCTCATTTAAGCATCAAATTTATTTGACTAAAACGACAAACCAAAAAAAACATACATATGGTTGTATCTTTTATCTTATGGCCAAAAAGTGCTACTTCTTTGAATTAAGGGTATATAAGAGCAAAAATGGAAGTAACAAAGAGCATATTGAATATGGAATGTTGGCCTTCAAAATCTAATTCAAAAAATTTTACATTACTCAAAATTATATCATATTGCATTAATTAATTGAGTTATATTTAAATTTATATATTAGGAACATTTTGAACGAAATATTTAACTTCGAATTTGAACTAATATAACGGTTTGTTAGTCCTTTAAGCCATTGAAATATCCCTTTCTAAAACTTAATACTTAACTATATGATTGCTAGCTTTTACGAACTAACTTAAAAAGGTTATTTCGTATTTATTATATTAAAAATAGAATTGTTCCATAAAAGTCAGTTTTAACATAGTTTAACCAATAAAATTTTAATTATTATTTCAAAGGTCATAATTTGAAACAAAATCCAACTTTGAAAGAAACTATTTCTGGAAAATGGAAGGGAAATAAAGGGAGAGAAGTGAGTATTATTGGATAACTCGAGTTACCCATTACTAAAGACGGTCCCACAAAATCGACATTCATCCCCTTCACTTTGTCAAAATCCAATATGGTTTTTACAATATGTTTTTTGTCTTCTCTAATGATGTTCTTGTCTTGATCGTCGTCTTCTTTATTGTTCAATCAATAGTGGCTGATAGTGAAACTGAGAATAGGATCAATAACTTGTGCCATCAAATGGAGGAATTCGGGTTTTGCAGTCAAACCTTCCATGAGAACCTAAATGGTCCGACAGACGATGTAGAACTAACCCAAATAGCAATTTTCCAAGCTCAAGCCAATACAAGCAAAACACTTCGGTATTGTTGTTAAAATACATATAAAATTTAAAAAGTTACAAAGGGTTTAAGTTGATAGGTTAAGATGAATACTTGTATTCTTAACAGGTATATTCAAGAGCTTCTACCAACAATAACCGATCCTGCATTGAAGAATAACCTTTTAGTATGTGAAAATGCATACAAGACAGTAAATGAAGCACTTCAAGAAGGAATTGAATTATTCTTCAAAAAAGATTATAGAAGCATGTTAAATGTGGAGAAGATTGCACCGAGAGCACAAGCGAGTTGCAACATGATTTTCAACACACCACCCGAGAAACAAGGTCTACTAGAGGAGAGGAACAGGGAGATAAGAATTCTGATTGCCATGGCTATAGTTTCGGGCTACATCATGACCGGTTCTAGCTCTCTCTAATCTTCTTTCTAATAAAACTCTTCTTTTAACACGTTTTTGAAGGATTTGATGATACAATCCATAAGTATGATTTTTTTTTCATGAATTAAAAAATAAAGATCATAAGTTTTTTTTTTTTTTTTTTTTTTTTTTTTTTTTTTTTTTTTTTTTTTTTTTTTTTTTTTT